CACTGCAGTGAGAAGCGTTCCAAGTTTTTAATAGGTGTTAACAAGCTCTAGGGTGATCTCTGGTTCGTGCGGTTGTTCGGTAATTCGAAGTGCAGTTTCGAAAGTTCGAAGTGTGGCCATACAAGTCCAAAAAGGCACACACAATCGTTTTAATCAGGGTTTAACACAGGGGCCATAGTCACAGGACTAGGAGGCTGGCAAACAGGCCCCTCCAAAAAAACAGTGACGAGGTTATTTTCACCACAGAGCACATTATGGTTTTTAAGCCATACCTTTGCAAAGTCTGGAATGTCAGACGTTCATTTTAATATAATCAGCTATTTTTATATTAATAGGAGGGTGCACTTAAAGGGACATTATAGTCACCTGAACAACTTTAGCTTAATGAAGCAGTTTTGGTGTATAGAACATGCCCCTGCAGCCTCACTGCTCAATCCTCTGCCATTTAGGAGTTTAATCCCTTTGTTTATGAACCCTAGTCACGCCTCCCTGCATGTGACTTGCACAGCCTTCCATAAACACTTCCTGTAAAGAGAGCCCTATTTAGGCTTTCTTTATTGTAAGTTCTGTTTAATTAAGATTTTCTTATCCCCTGCTATGTTAATAGCTTGCTAGACCCTGCAAGAGCCTCCTGTATGTGATTAAAGTTCAATTTAGAGATTGAGATACAATTATTTAAGGTAAATTAAATCTGTTTGAAAGTGAAACCAGTTTTTTTTTCATGCAGGCTCTGTCAATCATAGCCAGGGGAAGTGTGGCTAGGGCTGCATAAACAGTAACAAAGTGATTTAACTCATAAATAACAGTGAATTGAGCAGTGAAATCGCAGGGGAATGATCTATACACTAAAACTGCTTTATTTAGCTAAAGTAATTTAGGTGACTATAGTGTTCCTTTAATTATGCAAGTGGTATGTGTTTGCTTTGTATGTCACTGCATATTTAGTAATAATTTCTGTTTTATTTTGCTGATCATTATTTGGAGTGCTGCTGTGATTATATGTATTTTTTTTTTTTTTTACATTCTTTATTTGTATGTAGTAAGGTTACAAGACAGGTCAAATCATATCAAAAGACACGGTATAACAGGTTTTGTAAGGCCCCTAAACCTTATGGCCAACAATATTTGTAGGGTTTTATTCCTAGGTTTCCCCCTCTCTCCCTCCCCGCCGTATTAGCTCCCTTCCCCCCACCAACCCCCCCCATCCCCACCAGTCTTGATCCGGCCTCATTTCTCCGTTTCTTAGGCCTAGTGATCTTAGTAGACTTATGTTGGACCTGCCTTTTAGAGGGGAACACCATTCCCCGACCAACCCCGAGCCTATTTGCCTTATAGAGTGGGGTCCGCCGGGACCGCTGTGGTTTGCCTTTCGTCCGGCGTTTAGCAAGTGTTCCACCATGTGCGTGGGCATACATTGTAGTTGGCGAGGTGCAGGACCTTGTTTGGCTTGGTGGGAGTGAAGCTCCTCTGGCTCGCGCAGGGGGTGGTGGTCCCCTTGGGTCCAGATGCGGTCCCCGCGAGCCCCCCCTCGGTGGAATTCTGTGTCGTTCGGGTGTAATGCCCGAGGTCCGGCACCCCCCCCCTCCGATGAGTTGTTAATTTAACCGTGGCCGGGCTGTCTCCGGCCTGCCTGCTATCTGTGGCTGTCCTGTGTTAAATCCAGTCAAGGTCCCCTTTCCTCCCCTGTCGGTCACCTTTGCTTCGTCATTGAGGCATGTGGAGAGAGAGAGAGAAAGAGTGAGAGAGAGTGAGAGAAAAAGAGGAAGAAGAGAGGAGGGAGAAAAAAAAAAGGAGGGGGGGGAAGGGAGGGGGTCCCGCGCGACCGCAATCCAGCCTCCTCCCACGCTACTGGCCTCAGACGGTCCACCCTCGGCCGCCCCCACCTCCGGTCCGAGCTGTAGGAGATCCACGGTGTCCACAGGCGAGTGCAGCGGTCTTGCGTGCCCCTGAGTTCTGCCGTAAGAATTTCCATGTTATAAAGTTCATCGACTTTTTCTATCCACTGAGTAATGTTTGGGACAACTGGCGATTTCCATCTGGCGGGGATGAGGCTTTTGGCTGCGTTGAAAAAGTGTCTGATAAGGGTTTTCTTGTAACGCCCCAGAGGTATCTGAGTGTGGTTTAAAAGCATAGGGAGGGGCTCCATGGGGATGTCCTCCCCCAGGATGTCCACCACTTTGTCATGGATCTGTTGCCAGAAGGGGGCTATCCGAGGGCAAGACCACCACAGGTTTAATGCCGTCCCTTCGGCGATGTCACATCTCCAACACTTGTTGTCGGGGGTGACCCCCATGGCATGGAGTCGTGCGGGGGTCCGGTACCAGTGCGTCAATAGTTTATAATTAAGTTCCTGCATTTTAGAACTAAGTATCCCCTGGTGGGACAGGACGTGTATTTGCTCCCATTGTGGTTCCGTTAAGGTGACACCTGTGGCTTGTTCCCACTTGTGACCCGCATGGAGCATGGCATATAGGGTCGATATCCCGCGTGTCGGGTGCGATCCCCCTTCACATAGCGTTTCAAAGTGTGTGAGGTCTCGGTGGATCAGGTGTTTCCCCTGAAGTGTGGCATAGTACCGGCGTATCTGGTGGTACCTAAATCGTAAGATCCCTGTCTCCCTACTCTGGCCCAGCATGTCTTCCAGCGGCCTTAGGGCTTTATTAGCACACCATGCCCGAAGGTATTGTTTCGTCCCCTCCCCCAGTCCCTCCATATCCCCCTGTGTCAGGCCTCCCGCCAGGTCTGGGTTGTGTATCACAGGTGTCAGGGGGGCCGGGTTCGTGGTGAGCTGCAGCTTGAATCGGATGGTTGTCCATGTTCTCAGTGTCGCGCCTATGAATGGGTGGTTCCGCAGGAAACCATCGCATGTCGGGTTTTGTATCCATACCATCGATGGAATATGCCCCCTGGCCTGAAGCCGCTCCATATGGACCCATTGTTTGTCCGAGTCCAGGACATGCCATTCTATAATTCGTAAGAGGTGTGTCGCCTGGTAGTAACCGAGTAGGGACGGTAGGGCTGTTCCACCACGATGTCTCGGGAGTATCAATTGTGTCTTTCTTACCCTCGGCGGTCCCTTCGCCCAGACGAATCGCAGTATAGCCGAGCCCAAGGTGTTGAAGTATGTTCGTGGGATCGTGATCGGAATGGCCTGGAAAAGATACAGCAAGCGTGGCAACAGATTCATCTTTATTGTGTTGATCCTCCCAAACCACGACACGCATAGGCGTCCCCATCTGAGCAAGTCCGCACGGAGCGTTTGGAGAATAGGGAGAAAGTTTTCTTGATAGAGTTTCGTCAGGTCTCTAGTTAACCAGATCCCGAGATATTTTATGCGCTGGTGGCACCATTTAAAGGGGAACTCTCCTGTCAGCCGTTCGACCAACTCGGGGGGTATAGAGATGGGGAGGGCCTCCGACTTGTCCGCGTTCAATTTGAAGTTAGAGATCCGTCCGAACCGCTCAAAGGCCGCCAACAGGTTGGGCAAGGTGATCAAGGGGTTGCTCACGAAGAAAAGGAGGTCGTCCGCGTAGGCCGCCACCTTGTGCGTGCCGTCCCCCAGGGTGACCCCCGCAATGCCCCCGTCCCGTCTGACCGCCTCAAGAAATGGCTCCAGAGAGAGGGCAAACAGGAGGGGGGAAAGCGGACATCCCTGGCGCGTCCCGTTACGTATCCGAATCGGTGTGGACAGGACCCCATTAATGCGTAGTTGAGCAGTCGGTTCCGCATATAGCGCGGAGATCCACTGCAGTATATTCGGTCCGAACCCCATTGCCTTGAGCGTTTCAAGGAGGTATCGCCAGTCCACCCGGTCGAAGGCCTTCTCCGCGTCAGTGGAGAGGAGCAGGCCCCCGACCGGCGAGCTCCGTTGCATGTGCATGATGTTTAGCGCTCTGATTGTATTATCTTTGGCTTCTCGACCGGGTATGAATCCGGTCTGGTCCGGGTGGATCAAGGATGGGACTATGCGGCCCACGCGCGCCGCCAGGACCTTCGTAAACAGCTTGAGGTCTGCGTTTAGTAGAGAAATGGGTCTGTAGCTCGCACAGGCCGCTGGGTCTCTACCCTCTTTCGGGATAACCGCGATCGTTGCCAGTAGGGTGTCCCCTGGTAGGCGTGCCCCCTCAAGGAGAGAGTTCATGCCCGCCAGCAATTCTGGTAGGAGGACATCCCGAAGGCCTTGAGGTATCTGGCGGGGAGGCCGTCCGGTCCCGGGGCTTTGTTAAGTTGTGTGTTCTTCAGGGCTGCCGTCAGTTCCTCGATCGTTATGGGGGCATCAAGGTCTTCCCTTTGTTCTTGCGTGAGAGTCCGGTGTACGTGGTTTTCCAGGTACTCCCTCGTCAGTCTCACCGTCCTTTCCCGGCCCGCGCTTGTCTCATCTTTCTGGATATCGTATAGGCCGGTGTAGAAGTTCCGGAATTCCTCGACTATTTTGTCCGGTACCTGCGTGAGGGCGCCGCTCTTTGTCCGCAGCTTAGTGATCTGGTTCACGCGGCGTTGTTGTCTCAGCATTCTGGCTACGACCGCATTTGTTGGAGTGTTCATAGTAATAGCGATGGGCTTTTTTCATCGTATAGGCGAGGTTTTTCGTGAGCAGATGTTGTAGGTCTCGGCGGGCCTCTCGGAGCGCATGGTACGCCTCTTCTGTCGGTGCGGCTTTGTGGTCTTGTTCTAAGCTGGCGACTTTCGTATATAGCTCTTGTAGCTGCCTACTGTGTTCTTTCTTCCGCGTTGTACATACCTTAATGAAGTGTCCCCGAATGACGCACTTATGGGCCTCCCACTGAATCATTGGGGAGGTGTCAGACGGATCATTCTCATTGAAGTAATGACGGAGCGCTGTCGTAGCGTCCGCTATGGTGACCGGTCGCTAAGTAGTTGTTCATTCAGTTTCCATTGGCGTCTTGTGGGTTTATGCAGAGGCGAGGTCAGCTGGGCCATTACCGGTGAGTGGTCCGACCAAGCGTCCAGTAGGATTTCAAATTTTTGTAATAGATTCAGGTATTCTTGTGCAATAAAGACATAGTCTAAGCGGCTGTAGCCGCGGTGCACCGGGGAGAAGTATGTAAAATCCTTGGCCTCTGGGTGCATGACTCTCCAGCAATCCGCAAGGCCCGCCGTTCTGAGTGCCAATTGTGCCGCTTTGATGCTTGCGTCCGGCAGCGAGCAGCGTCCCCGGGAGGTGTCCGTCCGCGGATCCAATGGTATGTTGAGGTCCCCGGTTAGAATTAGGAGCCCCTCCCTGAAGTGTTCCAGCGATTTTAGGGTTCTGGTGAGAAAACTGTGTTGTCGGGTGTTGGGCGCATATATGGAGGCAAAGGTGTAGCGCCTGTCTGCAATGGAGCCCTTGAGGAAGATGTAGCGTCCCAGTGGGTCGGCCTTGACCTCCGCACACACGAAGGGGACATGCGCGGCGAAGAGAATGGCCACTCCTGCCTTCTTGGCTTCCCTATGGTTAGCAAAATATCCAGTGGGGAACCGTCGGTCTCGGAGGGCCGGTCGTCTGTCCGCGGAAGTGTGTCTCCTGGATGAAGGCCACAGAGATTCTATTGGACCAAAGTGCCCGTAGTAAATGTGATCTCCGTTCTGGCAGGTTCAGGCCCCGGACGTTGTTGGACCAGATGCGCAGAGGCGCCGGGGCGAACCCCTCTCGGCCCCGGGAGGTCATGAGAGCTGGTGCCGCCGCGCAGGGGCGGGCGGCGAGGTGTCAGGGGCGGGAGAAAAGAGAAGAAGAAGGAGGGAGAGAGAGAGAGAAAAAAAAAGGTGGTCGTAGATAGAGGGTCGTCAGTAGACCTGTTATAGAATAACAGAGTTAAACAAGGTGAGAACTATGTACAGTGTCAGACTCAGCTGTCTAGGTCGGTGAGTCAGTAAGGGGTGGACTGTCCCACGTAAATATGTCCCCCCTTGTCGCTCCCCCCTAGTGTGTTATACAGTGTGTCTGTGGGTACGTGAGCGTCCGTAGGCGCAGGACTGTGAAGGTGGGTCTAAGAGTCGTCACTGTCAGCTCCCCCTTAGCCCGTGCTGTCCCGCAGTAGTCCTCCTCTTTCCGGAGGCTATACCTCGGTGCCTGGTCATGCCCCTGTCCCATCCCCCAGGTGGACCCCCCCAGGGTGGCAGTGCAATTGATCTCCGCGTATCGCGGCTGCCGTTTCCAGTGTACCGTGGCAGCCCAGCTACCCAAGCAGACCCTATGCCCCTCTCGCCTCTGGCAGACTTTACTCGTTTGGCGTCCCGCCCCCCCCCATCCCCGTGACCCCAGGCCACCGCTCCGGTGCGGGCTAAAGGCCCTTCTCCCC